AGTCGGCCCAGGCCGCGCGCTGCTCGGCCGACAGCAGGTCCGCCTGGAGACGGGGGCGCGACCATCACGGGCGCGGGGCGCCACGAGGGAGAGGGCTAGGGGGCCTCAGCGGGCTGCTGCCGACGCCTTGTTGACGAGGAGCACGCATGGCCGCGGGGGCGAAGCCTCACCCGCCGACCGCTCGAGGTCGACCGAGCGGAAGAGGAGCGGGTTGCGAGCGTCGACGATCTGTACCACCTGCAGTCGCGACGCGCCTCGGTCGGTCCGGGAGACCGCCGCGAAAGTGCAAATGGCTTTCGGGACGCGTGCCAGCTGCGACCGCTCCAAGACGCGCCACAGCTGCCGCCAGACCTCCAGGTTCTTTTCGTATGGGGTGAGGCACTCGCCGCCCTCCTCCTCGAGCGTAGCCAGCCCGCGGCGCCAGGCGAGGAAGGCTGACCGCTCCGCCTCGTCCAGTTCGGCCGGATCCATGCCCACCGCGCCGGCTGGCCGCCGCGGGACTGGCAGGTCAGTCGCGACAGACGCATCGCGCGGCGCCTCCGCTGCCATCACAGCGCGAGCCTCGGAGGCGAGGACGACCACCTCGCCACGCCGCGCCGCGAAGTCCTTGCCCTCGAGCGTCGCGTTGGACATGAACTCCTCGAGGTCGTCGCACTGGGTCACAGAGCGCAGCCGGCCCTTGCCGCGCTCGGTCTCGAGCTCCGCAGCCGCCGGCTGTTCGCGGAACTGCTGCCGCATGATCGAGCGGCCCAGGTTGGCTCCCTTCTTGGCCTTGCCGCCAGATTTATCAGGCATCGTCACTGGGTGCAGACAGACTGGGGGCAGCTGGGAGTGGAGGAGCGAATGGAGTGGGGTGTGGAGTGGAGTGGGCCTCGTGCGCGGGGCTTCTTTTTCTTTTTCTATGAGCCTATGTGCGTGCCAGTCCGCGCCAGTCTGCGCCCTTGTCGTGCCAGTGTGCTGTGAGAGAGGCTTGTATCTTAAGAATTCTTTTTCTTCTCGCTACGGAACGCGTTGGTGGCCCATTTCGCCTTCCTATCTATCTATCTATAGCAAGCAGCCCCTGGCTCGCGAGTTACCCTGACAACCGCCAATATGGGTAGGTGCCGTGTATATAGGTAGGTAGGTGTATTGATTGTTGGCATAGGTAGGGGGCGAAGGGGAAGGCTGCTGCTACCGGGCGTGCAAACAAACAAAAGACAACAACAGACAGAGAGAGATCTCTGCTTGCTGTGGGCCTCGCGTGGTCGGCGCCGTGGTTCGAGAGAGATTTTTATTAACCAACAAGAAATCACGACTCTCACAGTGATTTGGGCTCGGCAGCTTGTTAGCCCTCAGCCGAAGCTGGGGCCGGTCCCGTAGCCGAGAGAGCCCGCGCCGATGAGTTCGACGCGGTCGGGGGGGCCTGCGGAGAGGCCAGCGAGATGGCGATCGCCATACTTCATGGTGCCCTCGGTGGGGCGGCTGACAAGCCAGAGCCCAGAGGTCGATACTCTGGACGACCCATAGGATGCCACGAATGCCTGAAGGAGAGGGAGGCGAGGCCAGAGGCAGGCTCAGCTGCTCTCGGGTGATCCCGTGAAGGACCCGATGGTCCTGTCACATTCGTGTTCCGAGTCGTGGGGGTAGAAGAATTCGAGGTAGAATCGAGTCAGCACATCCTTGTAGTACAGCGGACCGCCAGGCTCGCCGGCAGCATCCGCAGGGAGGCAGCATATGAGGCACCAGTTTTCTGGAGTGCTCAGCAGCTGCGGCCGCGGTGGCAGAGTCGGCCGCGGTTCGAGCGAGCAGCTTTTGGCTGCGGGTTCGAATCGCGGAAGGATCATGCCCTCGCGGAGCGACGCGGGTCGCGCGGCGCGCGCGTGTGCGAAATGCGACAAAAGACGAAAGACGACAGGCGCCTGAGCGCTGTACGCCTGAACTTTTGTCGCCGCAATCGCCACCGCCGCCATCTTGACGAGCAGCGCGAGCGCGCTCGTCGGCGGCCAGCCGTCGCGGGCCGGGCCGAGCCCGGCCTCAACCGGCCGCGCCGCCGCAGCAGGCCCGGAGGCCCACGGCGGCCGACCAGCTGATAAGGAGCTTATACTTCTTTTTTCTTGTGGTTCGTGCCGCGGCTTTTTTGGCCGCCAGAAACCACGCCTGCGTGTGGATCGCGTCACACCAATCCTCGCTACCCAACGCGGCCAAAGGATATCCACCTCGAGAACCTCGAGAGAGAGATTGCGTTTTCAGCCCTCCGAACCCGTGGTTTCAGCGCGACTCGGCAAAGGGATGAGCTCCTCTCGTTATTATGTGCGTGGGCAAGTACGCGGGCGAGCATACAAACCAGTGACAACCTTTGAACGCCAACAACACGGCGTGTAAGAGCCGGCCGTACACCGACAGGCAGCACACAACACACCAGACACACACACACACACTCCACACACACACACACACACACACACACACACACACACACACACACACACACACACACACACAACACACACACACAACACACACATTCACACACCCTAGACACACACATGCCCTCTGTCTCTCTTCAACGGAAACACGACACTTTGTAGCGTCTCGCTTGCTCACCTCAGCGGTTGTCGCGGTGTCGTATTCTAACAAATTAAAACGGCAACTTACTCACCGCGGAGCTAATAAAAGACAAGTTACGAGACAGGACGCCCTGCGGTGTAGAGAATGGAAGGAAGGAAGAAGGTTGTTCGGAAGGAAGGTGAGTGGTAGAGAGGTCACACACGGAAAAAAACGTTCTCTACAAAGTGTACTACACACGAGCCTCCTGGGCCCCTGGCCATAGCGACTGGACACCAGAAGCCTGTATATGGGTGGGACTCAAACTCTCAAGCGAGACGGAGAGATGGTCACACATGTCCCCCCGGGTTTCTTCCATCGCGCGCGAGGCGACGAGCCCTGCGTGTGTGGAGTGTGTGTGTGCCCTGCTTCCTCCACGCGACACTCGTCTCTCGTGTCCACGGCCGGCAAGCTGCGCGTCAAGCGGCTGTAGACGGCGCCTCCGCACGCGTCACCGGGCTGTAGTTGGCAGCGCTGGCCCAAGGCGACGGCTTATTCCTGTTTGGCCTCCACATCGGGGCCACTGCGGTCGGTGACGAGAATGAGATGCCAGCCAAACTGCGTCTTGATCGGCCCCTGCACCTGTGCATGGGCGGAACCCGCGCAGGTGGGAGCGACCCAGAGTGGAGGAGCCCGAGCGGGGCCGACGGTGGGAGCAGTGCGTCCTCTCTGCCCTTGCACCTCCCCGAGCGGTGCCGTCCAGACAATCTCGTCAAAGGCGGGCACCATCTGGCCGGGGGGGAAGCTGCCGAGCGAGCCGTCACGCTTCTGGCCGGAGGGGCACTGTGAGTGTTCGCGGGCGAGCGAGGCGAAGTCTGCGCCACCGGCCAGCCGCTCCTTGAGCTCGTTGGCGAGGGCCTGCTGCTCGACGAGGATGTGGCTGGCGGTCGCGAGCTTGCGCTGCTTGGTGGTGACCACCGCCTTCACTGCCTCGTCGCCCCGCTTGCTGCGCACGTACATGTACAGGCCAAAGGCGCACAGCAACGCGTGCCACACCTACGACAGGCCAGAGCTGGTGCGCAGGGCACGCGTGGGGCGCTTGGCGGCACGGCGATGCGCGGTCCTTGAGCGGGGCCAGCGGCCAAATCTCGTAGTCCAAAAACGTGCCCTCAAAGTAGTGCTCCGCCTCGCGCACCTGGATCGGAGGCAGTGGAGGCGGTGGCCAGAGACAGCGGAGGCGGAGGAGGCGGAGGTAGCGGAGACAGGGGCGCGGGAAGCTCTGCGGCCGCCGTGTGAGTGCGGTGCCTCGAGCAGCTCGATGTCAAAGATGAGCGTCGCACCGCCGGGGATGCGACCGCCGGCCTTCATATCTCCGAAACCGTACCCCAGCTTGGCCGGCACGTAGAGCATCCAGCGGTCGCCGGGTCTCATCAGCTGCAAGCCCTCCTTCCACCCGCGAATCACGCCCGACGGGCGGAAGCGGCTTGGCTGCTTGCGCCGGCGGCTCGAGTCGAAGGTCCAGCCGTCGATGAGCTCACCGTCGTAATGCACGGTGCACATCTCGTTGAGCCGCGGCGTCGGCCCATCTGGTGGCCCGGACTTGAGGATCTTGTACTGCAGGCCTGATGGGAGGACGACGACGCCAGGCTTCTCCGCGTTGTGGCGGAAGTCCTCGGCGGCGGCATCGGGCCGGTCCCGTTCTTCACCCTCTTTGCGCCGACGGATGCTGCCTTCGAGGCCCTCGACCAAGGCGGCGCCCGCCCCGCGCCCCGACACATGCCCGGCCTCTCCCTCCCTCGGCTCTCCCGGCCTGGCTGAGCCGGCCTCGCTGCGCGCGGCCGGCAGGTGTGCTGAGCCTTCCCCTCGTACCCGATGGCGAGCTGTCCCACATCGTCAGCAACCACATCGTCGAGGGGGCATACGGCCTGGACGATCTGAGACGCTACGCTGGGTGGAGCTTCCCGACGCGCGACAGCGTGCCGATCCAGCAGTCCGTCACGGTGACTGTCCCGAGAGACCCGTAGCGCGGTAGCCATCGACTCGGGCAGGGGTCGCGAGAGGGGAGCACGGACGGCGAGCGGCGACGCGGGTTGCGCACTCTCACGCGCGCGGCGTGCGGGCGCAGGTGACCAAGGGCGATGGGGACGAGCTGAAGGTGGGCAAAGCAAGAATGGTAGAAGAGATTGCCGCAACCAACGGATACATCATCGTCGTCGACGCGGTGCTTCTTCCCGATGGTTGATCGCCCTCCAGCTGCTCAGAGCTCGAGCTCGCAGCACGGTGTGGCCCGGGGCTGTGACTAGAGATAGATTGGAGGCTTATCAGAGCCCGTGGACGTGAACATGACGCCCGTTCTGTGCTATCACCCGCTGTGCCCAGCCCCCCCCCCCCCCCCCACCCTCCCACTAGCCGTCTGCACGTGGAACGGAATGATGCATGTATGATCCCCATCTCCCCCGTGCCTGAGTTTATACCCACACGTCGTTGGGCTTCGAACCCCCCCGGCGGTGCTTCACTTGCTTGTTTATGCACGATTTGAACACCCCCTTTCTCTGCCCTCTCTTTTTTGCCCTCACTTCTCGAGTGTGCTCGCTCTCACACAGCGGCGGGGGCTAGAGCTGTTTAACGTTGGGGAGCTGAACAGTGTTGCTAGTGTTAACAGTAACAGCAGAACAACAGTGGGGCTCCCCAACAACAGTAGCTAACGTTAGGCCGGCTGAACAACAATAAGGAAGGCCTGGCAGTGACCCACGACGATCTCTCCAGCGTCTAGATCGTTTTTTAGAGTTTTAGGCGTGATTCACAGCCGCGCGGCGGATGCACGTGTCGTTGGCGGATCTCTAGATCTCAGGTGCGCAGCGACCGGGGGTTTGCTCGTCTCCCGGCTCTGGCCTCGTCTCACCTCTCTGTTTAGCTTTAGGCACAGAAAACTGCGGCCGCCAGCGACAGAGCGTCTCGCTGGCGGACGGCGAGAGGAACACAAAGGGACGTCCGGACGTCCATCCACTGGGATGAGAATACTGGAGATCTGAGGTCGAATCTACCGATTCCGCAGCCGCCCACAGGAGCGCCGCCTCAACACGGGGTCTCGGCTCTACCGAGCCATGCTAGCTCCAGCCGCAGCCCCACCCGGCCGCCCGAGGGTGTTCCCGCAGGCAGAGAAGACCAATCCTGGGGGAAGTAACCGTACTCTCGGGTGATTTGTTGTCTTTCTCGCCATGTTTCTCGCGCTGCTGAGCGCTGAGCAAAATCCAGAAAACGAAAGAACATATGTTGCGCTTATGTCTTTCTTTTATATGCTCCACGTCTGACTGCAAATATTATGATACCTCACACCCCAGCACACCGGCATAAATCCATGTCTCATTCATTTTAGAGCCTAGAGCCGTTGCCACTTCCCCTCCAGAGCGCCTCATTGTGTCGAAGCTCCAGGTGCTGTCCTACTCCGGGAATGGCGAGCGGCCTGTATCAGAATAGACAGAAGGATGGAGTAGCAGAGAGAGAGAGAGAGAGAGAGAGAGAGAGAGAGAGAGAGAGAGAGAGAGAGAGAGAGAGAGAGAGAGAGAGAGAGAGAGAGAGAGAGAGAGAGAGAGAGAGAGAGAGAGAGAGAGAGAGAGCATCCGAGCTCATAGAGCCGTGGCGCTGCTCGTGCCGCTAGCCAGCCGCTGCGGGTACGGCTCCCCGCCCTCGAAACGCGAGTAGGCGAACTGTGTTGCGTGCGCCGACGCAACCTGGTACTGCTCGGCGGTGCCCTACACCCAGCGACGCAATGGCAAAGTCTCGGGCTGCGCGACGATTGCGTGCGCCGATGTGTGTGTGTGTGTGTGTGTGTGTGTGTGTGTGTGTGTGTGTGTGTGTGTGTGTGTGTGTGTGTGTGTGTGTGTGTGTGCGTGTGTGCGTGCGTGCATGGCATGTGCTGTTGTTGTGCTGTGTTAGCGCAGCGCATGGGTGAGGAGCGCTGGCCCAAAGCTGTCAAACCTCGATGGCGCCTTCCGCTTGGGCGCTCGTCGTGAAGAAGCCCTACCACAGAGCGAGGCCATATTGGCGACGGCAGCGGCAGGGGGGCGCGTTGGCTGGAGGGGAGCGGCGGAGCACCTCGCTTGGGTAGACATCGACCATGCCGTCGCGAGCGCCCGGCCAGGAGAAGGACTGTCCTACCAGTCCGTGAGGTTGGGCACGCACGCCGTCGGCGTCAGAGCTGAAGGAGAGGTCGAGCCTACGTCAGCCAAGATGCAGCCGAGATGCAGCCGAGATGTGGCCGAGAGTTTGTGCTAAAGTGTAGGCGCCGGTGCTGCGTCCCCGCGACACGATCGTAAACATGATTTCCGGCAACCTGCATCCAGAGAGAGACAGTTGTCAGTTCGTAGGGAGGTACATCTGCAACATGTCCGGGCGCCGCACCGTCACGGTCCCGACCAGCAGTACGAAGCTCTCTTCAGCGGGCCACAGTGCGCCGGGATGCGCGCAAGGCTCCAGTCAGCAGAGCTGGTCATCGCACTGGTCAATGACAACGACGATGCGGAGGTGGCTCTCGGGGGTGGCCACTGGTCGGCGGTGGCATGGCGCCGCTCGTCGTGGCGAGACGGCATGTTTTTGGTCGAGCACTATGACCCGTCCGGCGACGTCGAGATCAATGCAGATGCCGCTGGCCTTTTCGGTGCCGCGCTTGCGGAGCGCCTTACCGAGCTCTGCGAGCTCGAGCTCGAGCGCACCGAGATATGGCGCATGCCAGCACCTATGCAGCACGACCCCTGCGTATGTGGCCTGACAGCAGTGGCCTATCTGCAAGCCTTGGTTGCCGACCACACTGCGGCACGCGGCGCAGGCTTGGTGGCGGCCGCGCTCTCGGGCCCACCCGCCTCTCCACCTGGGGTGCAGGGGCTCAGCTGGGAGGACACCGAGGCAACACGGCGCGCGGCAGCCGAGGCGCACGCGCCGCTCCTCCTCGACGAGATCGACGCGTACACAGAGCGGCTGCGTGAGTCGTGCAAGCCGGTGGTGGGCCGGCTGTGCTCGCAGCGCTGTGAGGTCGTCTTTGACGTGTTCGAGGATGGCGACGAGGTCTTTGACGATGGGAGTGGCCTCGGCCCTCGCGACCCCGAGCTCGAGGCGCTCCTCGACGCGTGCGAAGTGGCAGCGACCACGAGCCGATTGCTTTGTCGGAAGACCACGCTTGCAGTGGCGATCGCGCTCTGTCTCCACGACCGGCCGGCGTTCCTCTCGAAGCTTCGCGAGCTTGGCGTGTCGCATTTACGCGAGCGGCAGGCCATTGCCAACGCTATCGGGCGCGGCGTGCGCAAGGGGTTGCTCGCATCTGAACAAGGTTGAGGCCCATTGAGCGGCCCCGGATGGAATTCAGCGGCTGCAGTCTGCTACACACAACGGTTTCGCGCGCGGCCGGCGGCGCAAGGATTCCCGGTCGCGTTGTGTACCGGCTATCGCCTGTGTGTCAACATCCTTGTCAGTTCGCGGGGACCGGCGGGGGTCACAGTTGTCTCTCTTCCTATGTCTCTTCACATCTCTCTACAGAGACTCCCTCGTTTGCCAGTGGTGTTAATTATATTACATTGCTGTTTTGCATTAAACAATATTTCCTGAAAGAAACGCGCGCGGACGGCCGGACGGGAGCTCAACCTGTATCGTGCCTACTCTCGACGTCGGCTTGAGTTGCGGCTTGGCTCGGCGGACACAAGCGTTTGTCGCAACCGCAACTGGACCCCGAGGGAACGACACTCGCACGGGCCGCGCGGGCAGCGGTTCGAGCGGCGGCGAGCAGTGGTGGCGGCGCACCCTTCGAGCTCCTCGAGGGTTAGCTTGTGCAGGAGCACGAACTCGGTGTCTCGCTCACAGACCGCACTCGCGCGGTTGGCCGGCGTGCGATACCGGATCTGCTTCGGCGCGTTCCTCCGTGTCCTCACGCCGGTCGCGACGAGTCTCCCGACGAGCGCGTCTTCAATCGGCGGCAGCTCGGGCAAGACGGCCGCGTGGTGCACCTAGGGCGCGACGGCCACCGCTGAGCCACCGAGCGGTCCAGAGGCTGCGGGCTGGGGGGATGGCGCGCCGCCAGGGAGACTAGGTCGGCAGAGAGGACGTAGCCCGCGCCCTGCATGTAGGGCGCATACACCGCCGAGCCGAAGATACGCACGTACTCCGGGTCAGACCAGCGCTCGTACGATGGCGACGCGCGAGAGGTGACCACGGTCTTGTTCGCCGTGAGCGCGCCCAGGTAGAGGCCGAGACGCGGCAGCGGCGCGAGCAGCGAGATGAGCCGCGCGCCGCAGACGAACGCGTCGTCGTCCGTCTTGAGGAGGTACTTGAAGGCCACGGAGCGCGCCGTCCACTCGAACGCGGCCAGCACCTTGCGCGAAAGGCTGCGGTAGTCGTCCGCCACCGGAAGAAACAGCAGGTCGCCGCCGCCGCCCAGCCTCTCGCGCCTGGCGCCCCCGAGGACAAAGAAGTGGCGCACCGAGCAGCGGCCGTCGCGCGCCTCGCCCGCCGGTCGGCCGAGGCTGCCGGCAGCCCGAGCCCACGCCCGGCGCACCGCGACTCGGCGCTGCTCAGGCGCAAGGCCCGACTGCTGCGATGAGAGAATGAGCGTGATGAGGTCGTATGAGCGAGCCTGCGTTGCGAGAGGCGCAGCCTCGCCATCTGACCCCATGCATTCCATCTCGGGCCGCCGCGGCACCGCCCCAGCGTCCGGCAGCGACTGCTGTGGCGCCGGCGGCGACGGCGGCGACGACAGCGCTGAGGGGCGTGGCGTGCGAGCTGCTGGCGCGGTGGACGCTGGTGAAGACTGCCGTGGCAAAAGCGGCGTGGTAGCCGCCGCGGCGGGCAGTTGGTGATGTGGGGGCGAGTTGGCGATGATCAGAGAGCGGCCTGCGAGCCAGCCAGCAGTAACGAGCAAGAGGGCAACGCAGCGGGAGGATGGATGTGTCCTCCGCCACATCAAAGTGGAGAATTCGAGTCTGTAGATGTGGCGGGCTCGTGGGAAGGCGAAAGAAGCCGCGAGAACAAGGGACCGGCAGGCGGCGGCGTCGCAGGACGAGGCAGAAGGGAACGACGCGACAGAGGAGGAAATGACAAGGGAGAGAACGACGAGAGTGGGACGACCGCGAGGTGGCATGCTGGCATGAAGGTTGCAGCGAGAATCGGAGAGAGACTGCGAAGAGAGATAGGAAGAGGCAGACTCCCTAGGGTGGGCGACGGCTAGCGCACCACACACCTCTCCTTAAAATCCCTGTGTGGTGGCGGCGTGCCGTCCTCCCATCCCTCCCTTGGGTTGTCTGTTTTCTTTCTTTCTTTTTCTCGTGGGAAGGCAGCACCAGGGAAAGCGCCCCCGGCCCCCTCCCGACACCGGGGCGGTGCTCCGGGGGCACGCCCCCGTGCACCACCCCCGCCTATGAACTGCACCACTCCCGATCGGGGGCGGTGCTCCGGGGGCACGCCCCCGTGCACGCCCCCTCATATGAACTGCACCACTCCCGATCGGGGGCGGTGCTCCGGGGGCACGCCCCCGTGCACGCCCCCTCATATCGTGCAAGCCCCACCCGGGCGGCGGGTGGACCAAGGGGCGTTCCGCCCTGCTTGCTCTAGGTGAAACGTCTGAAGGACGAAGAAAGCCCAACTCAGCACGACGGGCGGAGAAGACGGGCACTAGACCAGGAAGGACTGGGAGAGTGTGAATGGAGGGACACGTGTGGTTCAGACGTCCCCCCCCCTCGACGTAGTCGAGTCACTCACATGGATAGAGAGGAGAGTGTCCCTCTCGACGGGGCATGGACTGGATGACATGCACTGGAGAGTCTATGGCTCTCGCGGGTGGGGGCGGGGCGGCACTGTTCGCGCTCGCGGCCGGCGCCCGCGCTCCGTCTCGGTGACGGATCGGTGACGGAGATTCACTTCCCATCCGACTGGGAGGAAGGCTCCTTGACATTCATGATCTTGTCCCGCAGCTCGAAGAAGCGTTGAGGTTTGAGCGGCTTCGTGAAGAAGTCGGCAAGGTTCTCGTCGCTGCGGACGAAGGGAACACAGATCTTGGCTTCCTCGATGGCCTCGCGGATGAAGAAGTGGCGCCGCTCGACGTGCTTGAGCCTGCCGTGGTTCTCGGGGTTGTAGGCTGAGGCAATGGCGGCCTGGTTGTCACAGTACTGCTTGGTGGGCGGGGCCTCGGGAGGGGTGACGATCTCGCCGTCCTTGACGTACGACTCGAGCTCGGCCTTAAGGCGACGGTAGCTCAGGACGTCCTTGGTAGCCTCAGAAGCAGCCATGATCTCGGACTGGCAAGAGGAGAGCGCAATGGAGGGCTGTTGGACGCTGCGCCAGTGTACGGTGGCCTGCCACATGAGGACGATCCACCCGGATGTGGACCGGCGCGTCTCCCAACTGGCGTCGCTCATGGCGACAAGGTCGTCGCCCTCCCGCTCGCCACGGAAGTACTCGAGGAAGCAGAACATCTCCTCAAAAACATCGTCGGTGGGCTTGGCCATGCACCGGCAGAGGAGGCCGAAAGCAAGCGCTCCGTCGCAGCGCGTGTTGGTGACGAGGTAGCTGGCGACGCCGCAGAAGCACTGGCTGAGGTGGACGTCGGCGGGGTCGCGTTCGGAAGCATCGTCGCAAGCGGCAAGGACCCTTTCGGCAAGCTGGGGCGTGTACGGCGTCATGTTGGCGTGTCGGACAGGTTGTGGTCCGCGTAGGCGATTGATGAGCTTCTCGCGGAACTGCTCCACGAACCGGCGGGCATACTGCTCCTGCGACACGTTGACGGAGCCGTCGTGGCGCCTGGTGACCTGGATGTTGAGGATGTCGGAGAGCTCGCCCTCGTCCTCGGATTTCCAGTTCTTGTCCATGTCGGCGATGAAGCGCCCGTAGATGCTATCGGCAACGGGCACGCCGTCGTCGTCGGCGGCGTCGGGTGGATAAAACATGATCAGGTCATCGACGTAGACCCCGAGCAGGAACTCGTCATGCTCTGTGCGGTAGTAGAAAACGCTCAGGTCAGCCGTGGACTGGATGAGGCCGGCGCCGCCCTCGGCGCGGGGAAGCGTGAGCCAGTAGTAGAAGTCGCGCTGGAAGCGCCGGCCAGCCTGCTTCATGCCGTACAGTGGCTTGAGGAGGACGCAGATCTTGGGCTTGCCGTGCTCATCGAAGGCATGGACATGTCCGGCTGGTTGGTACATGAAGGCGATCTCGCCGCACTCGAGGGAGCCCTGTAGGAAGGCGGCGACGAGGTCGCGGCGCCGCATGCGTAGTCCGCGACGGGCGGCGAGGTTGAGGAGGACGCGCAGGGTGTCCATGCGTAGGACCGACTGGAAGGTCTGGTTGTAGTCGGTGCCAAAAACTTGTCCAGAGCCATCCATGCAGATGCGGGCCTTTCGTTTGCCGGTGCGCTTGGTCGTGTAGACCTCTTGGGCTCGGTTGATGTGCAGAAAAGGCTTGACGCCGACAGTCTCGAGGATGATCCTCTGGAGCTTCGGCCGAACTCCAGCAATGTCGGAGCGGATTGCAGCCAAAAGGGCAACGGAAGTGCCACCAGCGCCACTGACCTTGTCGGCCTTCTCGCGGTAGATGGCCCGCAGCGCGTCGTCGGAAAAGAAGGCCTTGAGAAGCGCCTCGGTGACAAGGTTGTCGATCCGCTTGATGACGCGTTGGGAGACGACGATCTCGGCCACAACCGCAGCCTGTCTCTCAGAGACCGTCTTGTGGACAGTTCCGACCTGCGCAAAATCATCGGCGGTGGGTGACTGACCGTCATCGGCGACGAACTCGAGCAAGTCGGCAAAGGCACGCGTCTTGAGCAGCTTCAGCTCGTAGCGCGCGCAGCGCACCGCATCGTGTTGGGTGCAGCAAACAGTGGGCGCAATGTTATCTATGTAGACAGCGCAATTCGTAGTGAGGAAGAAACCGATGCCGTCGCTGTGATGCAGTCGGCTCCACTCGAGAAGAGTGGCCAGGTTCGCCGCAAGCCCGTCGAGGGCGGCGGCACGGTCGAAACTGCATTCCGTCACCATCGCATCAGTTTCTTGTTTAGCGCCATGTAGGAGATCCCGAATTTCGGAATACTCCAAGGCTTTGGTGGGCGTGTCAGGCATGGCCTGAGCAGTGGATAGCGTGTCAGGCTTCACAAAGGGGCTGACGCGACCAGTCGAGTCGCTGCCACGTGCAAGCCCCACCCGGGCGGCGGGTGGACCAAGGGGCGTTCCGCCCTGCTTGCTCTAGGTGAAACGTCTGAAGGACGAAGAAAGCCCAACTCAGCACGACGGGCGGAGAAGACGGGCACTAGACCAGGAAGGACTGGGAGAGTGTGAATGGAGGGACACGTGTGGTTCAGA